CACATGGAAATCAAGATCGAGAAGGTCTGGTGACCTTCTCAATTACAGCTAAGAAAGTCTTCAAATATGTTGGAAAATTAATTACCCCAGCTTGTTTCACACTCCCCTTGCATCAATTTTTTTTTCAGTCTGACTTTAAACAATGTATGATAATTAAAACTAGCAAGATAATTGCTCAGGCTTTATGTTTTAAAACATTGCGATGCATGCACATGTAATTAACTCGAAGTTAAATGAAATTGAACAAATTTCATGGAACTCCAACGGAGCAAATCCAGTCAAAACGAATAAAAAAAACAGCTCATAGCGGAGTTTTAATTAATTGAACGAGTAACCTGATTTCAGCTTAATCTAATACTTACGGGTCTGAACACTTGAAAACTTTGTCTGGAAGACAAAACACGTCATCAGTAACGTTAAGCTTATGTTCTTCCAAACAGAATCCATTTCCGCTCGCTCGATCAGCAAACAAAACGAATTCGATTCGCCCGGGTGAATAGGTTAAAAACCAACGTCTGAGAATTAGTCCTGCAAGAAACAATAATACACAGAGAGAAAGAAATTCATCATACAAGATCAGTAGTTTTTGAGAGCGCGAAAGGCATAACTCTGCTCTCTGACAAGTCCAATGTAAATAAGTGACGCAGTCCCGCGTACAAATTCGCTGCAAGTCATGCAAGAGATGTATAGATCAAAAGATAACATTACTAACAGCAACATTTAATAGCACGAGATACTACTCACTTGTCTTTCTTCCTACCGAGATGAATCAGCAGAACTAATAATCACAACTCCAATTGATCGATCCAAACTGAAACTTGAACGAGCCGACTGTCATTTCTATTCAAACGCCGCTTGACGTCATGTCGGGGGTGAGAGGGTGTGACATAGGATCGGCAACTTCCGTTGAGATGAACTTCCGGTCAACAAAACATTATTACTTCCATCTTGTTTCAAAGACTGATCGACTAACATGGATTGAATTTAAGATCAATTTAGACTTGCGGATATCAACATTTAGTGTGGATGGGCAATTTAGGTTCAGATAGGCAAACACGAAATTGAAGAAGCGATTTAAAATGTTAATACGTGATTTCCGAATGCCTCTTGTCATCATGTAGACTCACATACAATATAGGAATATTGGTTTTATCGGTCATCTTCGCTCGACATGTACCATGTGTCTGCAAAGAAGCCAATTTATTATGTTGTCAAGTATCCTTGTTAACGGTTGGTGAGATCACGATCAAATCCTGCTGGTTTCATCTTTTTTAACCAGATTATTTTTAAGCCAAGTAAGACAATACAAATAATAAAAACGCAATAGCCAAGATGCGTTTTTAAGCGGATCTAACAAGCGGATTTCAAGGCATCGTGTTCGCGTTAATCTTGTTAACAGCGCTACGATAACTGCAGTCTTTAGTTAAACAAGAAGATTACGACGATTGTAAACCTATAAGAGGCTCAACAGCTGTCCGTGGCGATCAAGTAAAAATATGTTGTATCGATGTCGTGTTTAATGTTTTAAGTTCAGACCTATTCAAAACACCCCTAATCCTACCTTGCTGTGGAACATTACTTTTAGAATCCCCGTTTACTTGTGGTGGACTTTTATTTTCAGTGTTCGGCAATTCTATTCAAATGGCCAAATAATGTAGAAAATGGAACCGTCGCTCAAGAGAGAGGAAATTTTTTTCATGGTATATTTGCGTCATTGGTTGGTTTTTCCTGAAACTAGAAATGAAAACTTGATAAAAACACTGAGATTATTTTTTTCTTTTGGCTTTATGTCAATGGAAAAAGGAAAGAATCTGCTGGAGGATTTCTGGAACGAGGAGTTTAGTTATTTTTGACGTAAGTTTGATCTAAAGTACAAGGAGGAGCAATGCAGTTACGACCTTGAATGACCTTCAAAACACCCTTCCGATTTCATCCCCAAAAAGATCAGACCTATTGTTACCAAGCAGCATTTTTTCCCCTGTAACACCCGAAGAACCCTGTCATATCATATTAAAAGGGAAAATATGTCCCTGATAACCATGAAATTCTTATCCTTACCATCAAAAACAGATACAAGCAAAAATTTATCATTGCTTGCGTTATGAGACTTTTCAGAGTAACCTAACCGTTGAGCAATTGTCCTTACATGTGGTCTAGTTTGACCAAGGGGGTTGAACAGGATGGTTTCAATGGGGGGGATTATGGTTTTTACGACTAATGGCTAATTTCTAATGGTTTTACGGTTAACTCATTTCACGACTAATGGTTATAATTGGTAAATTTTTATGCCTAAGGGATATATAATTTTCCATCTTCTGGCTAACAGTGAACCCCATTGAGATCCTCGTACATGTGCAACCTTACTTCGTGGTTCACAACCAACGTTATTGCTAGGAACTGTTATTTGGATCAGGAACGATTTTTTTCTTAAAAAAAAATCGCCAAGAGATGTAAACGAGATAGACAATTCTTTTCTGTGACTTCTTGTTGCAGCGTTTAGATCACCCCTGATGAGGGCACTAGACAGGAGTGTCGAAACGTTGGGTCTGTGAATTGTAACTTCTTCGGTTACATTCATTAAATCTGTAAACCAGAGTAGCATCAAACCATGTCTTCGTGTATTTACTTTTTACCTAAAATCCACAAACCTAATCAACTAGGTCGACCCATCGTTTCTACTCGGAGTTGTCCCACCGAACTTATCTCCAGCTACGTAGAAAAAATTATGGACAGCCAATACGCGCTTGAAATTGCTTGTGACTTTAATTTCCTTAGCCAAAACAAACTTATTTTCACTATGGATATTACATCTTTTTATACTGTCATTCCCAACGACGAAGGTCTCCGGGCCCTCAAACATTTTTTCGATAAACGCACTGTTACCGGGAACCTAGTTCTGAAACACTACTCCGTGTAGCCGAACTAGTACTTAATTTGCCTTTCATATGGTAGCAATTACTACAAACTAATGGCGTAGCCATGGGTACAAAAATGGGACCCAGCTATGCCGATCTTTCCGTAGGTTTCATCGCACATAAATTTTTTAGTCAATACCACGGCCCCAAACCTGAACTCCATGGCCGCTACACTAACGACTGTATCATCCAGATTTAATCCTTGGTTGCCCAAGGGCACTTGCGATTACTTGTTTATCACGTTAAGGGCAAATTCTTATGTTTTTTCATTCTGGTTAGGTGGATAAGTTTGGAAACCAAATGAAAATCGAGTTGAAAACCACATGTGCTTGGAAACAATTTCAAATACGTGGGTAAAATGTTTCTTAATCTGCATATTCATAAAGCAAGAAAATGATGAAACGACTTATTCCTCACACAATCTGGTATAACTTTTTTAGGTGGGTATCTTTCCTTTGACGGTTTAGCAACTTCTTGGATAAACTTTGTCAGCCAATAATTAAGGCTTAAGGCAGCCATTTGAATTGACGGAACTTCCAATGACGGGAAATCGGGCTCTTCGCCAATTTTTAAAAATCCCAGTCACTCATTTGTTTATAAACTAGGTAGAATTCGGATTAGCGTTTGCCACACAAGTTTCCTCATCTTCACTAGGTTTTGGAAGTTTAAATCTGTACTCTGCCATCCGCATTGCGAATCGACACGCTTGCTAAGAAGTCACAAACAGCTAGGTAACAATATGACATTGAATGCAAATAAAATAACCAGCAAGCAGCAAGTAGGTGACAAGTTCAAAACTTCTTAAAATTATAATTTTCACTAATTTTCGTTGTTGTAGAAGTAATTTCAAAACCTCGTGCTTCGGGTTTCATCAGGTGTCCAAACACTCTAAAACAAGAAAAATCACTCGGTCTGCAGCCTCGTGGTTTCAAATGTTTTCGCGCGTTTGGAAACCCAATGAACGCCTCGCACTCGTTTTTGAAATAGAACGTAAATTACGGTGCTTAGCATGTTTACAAACCTTTGTTTGATTCTTCTGTTGCTAATTTCCGGCTCGCTTGTTCCGAAATTTCACTTTCAGTTAAAAGCTAGAGAGAAGTCCGGGAAATAGTACAATTTGGCAGATGGCGTGACAGCTTTGGCTCAGCTCTATGTTTTATACTCTGATAGAGCACGCTCTTTCAAAAAACAGCGCGCGCTACATCCGAACTTTATTATAATTGTTTTAATACAGATCGACACAGCCGCTAGTCATGATATAGTACGTTTGAATCACACCAATCAGTCTATTACCCCATTCACACCAGCAAAACATGTTTTGTTAAACTGGTTTTCATTGAATGAAAATTATAAACAGAGAACTGAAAAACTTGATTTTCCATTGGATTCAAGTACTAGCTAACTTGTATTTCCAATGTGCTACATTCAAGTCAAAAATATTCGGTTAAATAGTTTCTATGAAGAAAAAAAAATTAAACTGTGTTTAACAAAACAACTTTTAAACATGTTTAAGCTTTGGTGTGAATGGGGCATTAGACTTAAACTGTTCCCACGGCTCGTGCTTTTCATCATAGTGTAAACATTCGAAACGGTTTACAATAGTGTTTGGTTTGAACCTGAACGCGTATTTCTATTTTCCTGTCCAACGATTCTTCCTATAAACTTTGAAACAAGGTAAAAATTCGAGTGTTAAAAGAAGGCCGGGGGCAGTTTCATTTTTAAATCCATGTTTTTCTTCCGCTTTTCTTCGGGGTTTTTTAGGGCATATTCGTCAATTATGAAATGAAGTAGCTTTTTTTTTTTTATCGATTACACCCCCACTCTGTGGAACCTGTATCTAGCGGTCACACCACCAATCCCCATAGGTGACCACTTCCTACAGGTTCGCCTGTAATCTAATCTTAAGTAAGCGCAAGAAACACAATTTTCTCCATGCCAGGAACTTTGACATTATAGCCCATTTTTAGCAACCAGTGGCCCTATCTCAATTTATCCTCCATTACATACTTGTCAGTGCCTTTCGTCACACCCACAAACCACAGTTACATAGGAAGCAATTCATTTCATGCGAGAAGTGTACCGGTAACAAAACCTTTATTGGATGTAGTTCTATTTACATCGAGCGTTACGCTTCACTCCCATTGAACTAAAATATTTCAAGTACTTGGTAACCCTCATTGACTCAAAACCGAAATCTAAAACTTGAAAAAACATTTCAATAACTGTAACATTAACCTGAAAAGGCTAGAGAAAGTATTGCTTACATGCCTTAAGCCGCGTTCAAGACAAACTCTAACCATAAATTGATACAACGATCAAGATTGATTGGAAATACTTTGTTTCCAAGCATTTGGCAACTGTTTTGGTCTACACCAAAATCAAGGTTAAAATTGAAACCAATGAAACAGATTGACAAAATAACAAATACGCTTATGTTAATTATTTTAATACTTCTGCCCACCTTTAGGGAAAGTGCATCTTATATTTATATTTCTACACTTGAAGTTCAAAACCTGGTCTGTTATTTGTGCACTATAGCTCGAACAGGTTCCCGACTTGAGTCACTGGTAACTCCGGTATCAGTGATCTCATTACTCCTCAGATTAAGTGTGGTTAGCCTACAGCTTAGATGCTGTAAAGCTTCACATAGACTGGTAACACCGCTATCAGTGATCTCATTACCCCTCAGATTTAGTGTGGTTAGCTTACAGCTTGGATGCTGTAAAGCTTCACATAGACTAGCGACCCCGGTATCAGTAATCTCATTACCCCCCAGATTTAGTGTGGTAAGCTTACAGCTTGGATGCTGTAAAGCTTCACATAGACTGACAACCCCAGTATCAGTGATCTCATTACCCCACAGATTTAGTGTGGTTAGCTTACAGCTTGGATGCTTTAAAGCTTCACAATGACTGGCAACCCCGGTATCAGTAATCTCATTACCCCCAAGATTTAGTGTGGTTAGCTTACAGCTTGGATGCTGTAAAGCTTCACATAGACTGGCAGCCCCGGTATCACTGATCTCATTACCCTCCAGATTTAGCGCGGTTAGCTTACAGCTTGGATGCTGTAAAGCTTCACATAGACTAGCAGCCCCGGTATCACTGATCTCATTAGCCCTTAGATTTAGAGTGGTTAGCTTACAGCTTGGACGCTGTAAAGTTTCACATAGACTGGCAACCCCAGTATCAGTGATCTCATTACCCTTCAGATTTAGTGTGGTTAGCTTACAGCTTTGATGCTGTAAAGCTTCACACAGACTGGCAACCCCGGTATCACTGATCTCATTAACCCCCAGATTTAGTGTGGTTAACTTACAGCTTTGATGCTGTAAGGCTTCAGATAGCATTGCAACCCTGGTAGCAGTGATCTCATTACCCCCCAGATTTAGAGTGGTTAGCTTACAGCATGGATGCTGCAAAGCTTCACCCAGACTGGCAACCCCAGTATCACTGATCTCATTAGCCTCCAGAGTTAGCGTGGCTAGCTTACAGCTTGGATGCTGTAAAGCTTCAGATAACATTGCAACCCTGGTGTCAGTGAACTCAATACCCTCCAGATTTAGTGTAGTTAGCTTACAGCTTGGATGCTGTAAAGCTTCACATAAACTGGCAACACCGGTATTAGTGATCTCAATTTGCTGCAGGCTTAGTGTGATTAACTTCCTCACTACTAATCGATTAATAACATCAACGCATTCATCAGTCAAGTCACTCAATAATAAGTTCAGTTCAGACACAAGACAGTGTCCATTGTTCAGTGAATTACAAAGTCGTTGTAATCCATACAGTGTTAGCTGTGAACGTTTAAGTTCTAACTTCTTAACTGTGACGAACTTATCAGCACATTTGTGTTGTGCCTCTCCAGCTTCCTCTCTATTTAGTTCAGTGACAATGTCCAACACAAATGATGCTTCAATGCAGTTTACGTCTGATAAATTCTCTAACGCCAGGACGCCGTCAGAAATACAAAACGCTTGGGGATTATTCCTGATGAACTTCTTGGCGAATTCTTTGCTTTGATACTCATTCAGACATGTTATTTTAAGAGCGGATTCTATGAAGGGTGAATCTAATAATTTTACCATCAGTTCCACGTTTCCCTCCGTTTGCATTAAGCCCGCCATGAATTGGAAAACCATTTCAGAGCATTTCTCGTGTGGAACACGATTCTCCTTTACAAACCAACGAGCGGCTAAGAACTCTTGGAAGGTCTGGTGAAAAAAGCTTAAGTGCCTCGCGGTTGTAATCGATGCAGTCCTGAAAGACTGACCACAGTAAAGAAGACCGCTACGTTTCAGTTTGTCGACTTCTTCCGCTTCAAAATCGCCCTTCATCTCGCTTTCATCAAAGGTTGGCTTTCTCTCAAGCAGCAGTTTTGCCGCTAGTCTTGATAATTTCTCGAATGTCTCTGGGATGAAAGAAGGGGGCTTGAATTGCTCAGGAATTTCTTCCTGTCTGTATTCTGACTCTAAGGTGAACTTAAGTTCAAAGATGTCCATAAGTTTGGTGTAAATGTCGGTTGCTGACACAGGAAGGTCTTGAAGGTTTCCTGAATCGAGGATATACTCCATCTCGAAGCACAACACAAAGCAGAGGATAGGAATATGAGCAAACCTGACGAGGTGCTCATTGTTCATGACATGTTTAAGTACAGCGTTCTTCATATTTCCGTCTTTCTTGAAGTACTTCTCAATGTATTCTTTGACTTGTTCTGAAGAAAATCCCGCAATTTCCACGTACCGTTTAAAACGGATTCCTCCCATCTTGTCCGATTCATCAGGTCGCGAGGTAACCATAACGATAGCTCCTCTCAATATTTTTCCTTTGATGAGCTTTGAACATAATGCGGCCACCGGCATTTCACATCTAGCGTCACTGAGATGCTCTTCTTCTAAGTTTCCAGCGATGTAGTCCTGCTGCGAATACTCATCATAACCATCGATGATAATCATAGCTTGCCTGGGATGCTTTACAATGTACTCAAATATAAAGTCATCCATGTTAGAATTGTCATCCTGGACCGAAGTACAGTTTAAGATTTCTCTTAAAGTCACAGGGTGGTTTCCAAACATGTTCAATTGACGGAAAGTAAGCAAGTATGCAAACTTTAAATCGAGGATTTCAGTGTTTCCTTTCGCGTGAAAAGCGTTAGCCCAATCGCGAATCAACTTTTGGCAAAACAGAGATTTCCCAATCCCAGCTTTTCCAACGACAAGAATAGAATTAGGATTCTCATGATCATCACTCATCTCAATAAATATCTTATCGCAATGCTCAACCGGAGTAGCGATGACCTTTCCGTAGTACTCAAGCTTTTCACTTCTTGTATTTGTTTTGTCATTCCTGACGAGGACTTTTCTTCCATGATGTACGAGAAGATTAATGAATATTTCATCTGTTTTCGCGTTGGAAATCGCGCGAGAGGGAAGCAGTATATGCTGGAATTGCTGGAATTCCGTTTGGCCTAGAATAGATGATTTTAGGGCTGCAGTGTAGGCACTTACGGCTGAAAGAAAAGAGGAAAATTCTTTACAAATAATCTGAACACAAGGACAAGTAGCTTGCGTATCAGTTTGAATTGTAACTCCACGCTGTTTCCTTGTTTGGGGGACAGGGCAATGAATACACAAACTTTAAAGAGAAAACAGACCTTACGCTCTCGGTTTACTCTGATTAATGCAAAAAAAGTCGTACTAGCATCTATCGCATCCATTATTATCTGTTTGATGGCGTGCTTTGTTCCGTAAACACATATCCACCAGCATTATTCGCCTTTCCAACAACAATTCTGGAACTGAAACTAAACACCTAGTCGGTTATGTTCTACTGTTCTAGTTTTTACATGTGTAAAAATCCTTTCAGACTGGCCTCTCTTTTTCATAAGGGCTCAATAATCCGATAATGAGGCAAATTTTGGCGATGTTTATATCTACAGTTCTCAACCGCCAAAGTTTCGGACAAAAGGACTGTACATGGCTTAGAAAGAATGTTATCTTATGCGTAACATCTCGAAGAGAGTTATCGCTTCTGCCTGTCATCCTTAAAAGAAATTGATCAGCTTTCATGAAGGACTACGTACTACACGTAACTACAACCATATACCTCAAATCAAGTGCATATCATCCAGATTGCGATTGCTGTACCCTCTTTCAAGGGAATTTGAGCAATCCTAAATCTTCTGACGATACTGCTATACTTCTATGTCATTTACAACATGTTGAAGTAGGCTGATTTACACGAAAGTATCTAAACGTCGATCATTTGTCAATAAACGTGCATTATTACGATGGCGCGACGCTGTACTTCTCCATGAAGTTTCCAACGGTCGCACCAAAGAAGACTTGAACCAGACATTTTTCGATATTTCAGCAGATTTTTGGGTATTCTGGAGTACCGAACTCTCTCTAATTACGATAATTCGAACCATCTGCAAACTTTTAGACTTCCTTGTCTAAAAAGATATATTAAATTGCTTGAAAGATTTTTGAAAACAAAGGACGCAGACAGGAACGGGTAGATATTCCAGCTGTTGAAGCGAGTGACTACATAAGCCGATTTATCATCTCCGTTCATACTAAAAAATTACAATTAATTCGATTCGAGGCCAGCGTCAATAAGCGACACTTAAAAGAAAAAGGGCTATTCTGTAATGATAATAAACGACTATGCATGCAAGAGTTAATTTTTGGATGGTTGGGTTGAAAAAGGACGTTAAGTATTTGATGCTTGTATTTTTGATAACCACACCACACCACCGCACCACAGTTTCTTTAAAATTTTACACCCTTTCCTTAAGTTTTCTGCCTCAGAACGAGAATACCTCAAAACGCATTTTACGCGACCGCAAGTTTTTTTGACTGATTGAAATTAAAGGTATGCAGAATGAATTCCACAAGTAGTCTAAGCACAAGACTATTATCGTCTGCTTCTGATCGACACCGCCGCCAATATTTACATACGATAGTTGAATTTAGTCACAGTTCTTGCTTTTCATCAGACAGTAAACAATCGAAGCGACTCACAGTATTGGTTTGCGCCTGAACTAGATAACATTTTGTTCACGTGGAAGTTGATATTTAAGGCAACGATGCTTAGTAACAACTGTAACAAAGCCTCTCCATCGTTTTATGCGCGATTACCACTCCAATCTGGTTTCGTGCTCGGGCAAGTTCGGGACGATTAACTGGGTGGGTGACTCATTCGCATATCGGAATTCCATTAACGACACGGTAGACCTTCGCCGGTCAAATTTTGCTAATTTTTGTTTTCACATCAAACAAGGCATTACTATTCTGTCTACAGTTTCCGAAAAACATTATTGTTAAATATTGAAACACACTCGGATTCCTTACAAAAGGTTTTTCCGAACTGAATTCTTTGAGCCGCAAAAGCCAATTACGATGTGTCGACACAAATGACTCCTGTGATGTTATCCCCGCAGTACATCCGGGGTAGTATCAGTTGTCTAAACATCTCCGTATTTCAGTAACATGTGTTCATCATAGTAGTTCGTGAAATAATGGGTAGAGATAAAAAGGGAAAGAGTCCTTGGGGTTAACGCTAGAAAAAAGGATTTCGATGAAGAATGGAGAAAAAATCCCGCTGAAACGGACAAGGGCTCGTAGTATGAGCGATCTTCGCTGCTCGCCCTCGAGCGACCATCGACAAGTTCCGCCTCTTGAACTTGTCGGCGCCGCCGAAACTTCCCTCTACCTTGAATTTCTTCTTCTTGCCGGCATTCTGAATTGAACGAAGCTCTGTTGGACACAACTGCAGCATAGTTTCAAAAGGCGTGAAATATTGGCAAAATTTTGGGAGCGAAAAAAAACCCTCTTCGTCTTTACGCGAGCGTGGCCTCTCTGAACAAATTGAATAGGGTATGGAACCTTTATGGATGGATTTAAAATTTGGTCCGAAGGCTCACAAGATACCAACCTAAAACATAGGCATGCTATGCATGCAAGAGTTATTTTTTTGGGTGGGTGGATTAATTGAAACATTGTAAGTGATGTCTACATTTTTACAAAAGGAAAGAAGAGTTTTAACGCGGAAAAGAACGACAATGTCGAATTAACTCACACACAGGTATATTGTGGTAGATTGTGTGTGTTGTGCGAATAACTGTAACCAAAAATAAATTGTATTGGTACCACGGAAATGCAGACGGCAGACTGCAGAGTGGGTAAAAAATGCAGACTGAGAATCTAAAGAGTTTTTCGTCTGGTATGTGATAACAAGTCATCTTACAACTTACCGAGCGTCACGCAATCGCTTTTCCGCGATCAGCTTTCACGATTATTTGCACTATTGTGGAATATTCCTGGCCCGTTTCTTGATCAAAATCGATCTTAATATAATTTCAAGCCTTCATACAGTCTTCTCACTTAGCGCGCGAGTTGGTTGGTGTGATGTCTGTACAGATTTTACCAACGTAATAAGAGATGTCGATGTAAATGAGATGTTACAATTGAATATTTAAGACGCACAAAAGTCGAAAAACAATTGACAGCTTTGCACGTGGTCCGTGTTATCATCTTTTTAAGCGGCATGTGTTTATTTTGTTGACAAAAATGCGGACCGAGACCAAAACTGTTCCTTCGACTCGATATATTTTCAACGTTACAAGATCACATCATATTAATTTACCTCCGTAAATCATTCATTCCGGATAACAAAATCAAATAACATGCTAGCGATAGTATCTGAATTCGTCCTAGGCCGAACACAAACAACTCCACAAGATCACTTTCTCCAGGCATCGATAACATACATAAAATCGTCCTTAACTTAATAACTTAATCTTACCTGGTGCGTGTGATTCACTGGTATCTAAATGAAATAATTAACAAATATAGTGTTACGAAATTGAACCATTTTCGTTGCCAAAGCAATAACAGAGTTGATTAATTTAATTAAGATATAATAGGACAAATTTCTAAATCCAAACATGGAGCAAAACAATATGAAAGTGTGCAAGCATGTACCTCTACTCGCCTAACTCTGAACAGTTTCAAAATCAAAATTTATGCAAAAATGCATAAATATATTTCTGGGAAGTTTGAGACGTGTTTGACAAATGAATTTCATGTGTTGTAAATTAGCCAAGGGATATACATCAACTCACTTAATAAGTGAGCGCAGCAATATGATAAAAATCAATAGTACAGATAAACACATACAGGAACTCTGCAAGCATATGGAAATAGATATAGCTGAAAGTAACTTAAACAGAAAATAAACTATTGTCCTTTATTGATCCCGCTGCCATTGATGCTACAAAGTTATAAATAAAGTGGCAATAGAAACAGATTTTCCTTGTGTTTCTACTTTTTCCGAAAAGACAGAAGGAATGGGGGAGCTTATTCAAAGGAGGTGCTTATTAAAGAGTGGGTGCTTATTCAAGGAATTATGTGAAGTCATCTTGATTTGTGTGTGATATGAGCAGGAATACATGTAGACAGATCAAAATCAGATCTGTTCCTGTATAAAGAAAAGATAGATTGATATAGGAAGCAATACCTGCATTAAAGTAAGGCCAGTCTTGGAAAATGACTGAATCATTCAAAATGTTGGCCACAACAGATGCTGCCATCACACAGGCAATTTGTTGCCATTTCCTACTTGAAGACTGCGTTTCATCTACAAAGTCTCTGATGCCCTTGACTACCACCCATTCTGTCTTAAAATCATGGGCTGCTGCTGCATACACTCCTGAAGAAAAAAAGGGAAAAAAACGCTCATGTCCTACCTATATTGAGCTTATTTTTTAGCATCCTTAATATAATTCTTCAATAAAAAATGACTGAATCATTCAAAATGTTGGCCACAACAGATGCTGCCATCACACAGGCAATTTGTTGCCATTTCCTACTTGAAGACTGCGTTTCATCTACAAAGTCTTTGATGCCCTTGACTACCACCCATTCTGTCTTAAAATCATGGGCTGCTGCTGCATACACTCCTGAAGAAAAAAAGGGAAAAAAAATGCTCATGTCTTACCTATATTGAGCTTATTTTTTAGTATCCTTAATATAATTCTTCAATAAAAGCCCACAAACATTTACACTCTAGCTGTTTGTAAATATGCACATCACAAAAAGACGTTAGTACCGAAATCTAGTTTTATTCAACAAGTAATTAAATAAAATTGTACACTGAGACTGTAAAATTATTTTTCAGGCTTCATCTTGTTTCATAAGTAACTTTTAACATTCTCAAAAGACAAACTTTTGTCAGTTAGAGTTGACAAGGACTGTGATAAAGTAAAAACCCGCATAAAAGAACACATGTTTTGGAGGTTCAGGCTGATTTTGTTCTTATTTATCAGGTTTTTCTGCAAAATCAGCCTGAAAATGTTAGGGTGTTCCTAAAATTGTTTCTAAAAATTAAATACTGCATAGACTACCAACAGATCTGAAACATATAAGCACAAAATTTTAATTAAGTAATGGGTGTAACTAACCTTAACTGCATTAGTCATGGCAATAATATTACATTGGGGGAGGGGTAGCAGTTCTGGTGATAAACAACTCAAAACTCAGGAAAAGTCGAGCAAATTCAGAATGCACCAACTCCTCCTCCCTGTTTCCAACACTGTACCCTAGTACTGTACCTAAGTAGGTTATTCTAATCTAGCTAGCAACCAATTTTTCTAAATACATGAACAATTTTCATTTTTCAGGCTAAATGTGTTCTTATGTATAAGGTACTTTTTTGACCAAATTTCAGTAGGACTGTTCTTAGTCCACTTGATCTTTTATGCCAGTTTTCACTGTACTATTTTTCAACTCTCAAACGATTAAACAACATACTTTCAACATTTTTCAGATAACAAATTAAAGATAATCCATGACATCCTGATGGAGCACATTCAATTTAGTTATCCAGAAGAAGTCTCAGTCACCTTCACCTGCAAAAAACCTTCCTACCCCAGCCAAACATAAAATCACTAAGAATACACAATATGTAATTCCCGCAAATTTAGCATGTTATATGGTCTGTCCTATTTCTTGGACCAGCAAAGACAATACCAAAGCAGTGTTTTTCAAAACACTTCCTTTAAGTGCAAAATTCTTGGCTCATCAATTATTTGAATTATTATGATTCTCACCTCCACCTTCCATTTCAACTGCAATTGCTTCAGGATGTTTCCTAATCATATCTCTGTTTGCCTCTGAGATACTCAGAACCACTCCATCACAATGCACTTTGGCATTATATTCATCAGCATTTAGTAAAGGTGCCTTCCACCCATCAGCCACATGTTTGATCAGGTTTCCAATATCTCTGCTGGGGGGAGTTTTTTGTGCAGCTGTTATAAGCTTTGCTGAAACAACCACATCTCCTAACTTGACCTTTTTGTTGTTCAAACCACTACAGGCACCAACAGAAAAAATAGCCTTAGGTCTCAGTAGCAAAATGGCATCTTTTGAAATGGACAAAGAACCCCCAGGAACAACAGGACCTATGGAGCACCTCATCAATGCGATTTTCATTTTCTTTCCTTGATCATCACCCATGCACCCAAAGTACACAGGGCCAGTACTGATGTGGTAACTATTAAAGGGTTCCTTCAGGTAGGCAAAGCAGCTTAAGAACTCACAGTCCTCCACTGTTAATAAAAGAATGTCAACAGGAAGTTCAACTGTTTCCCAAGGATTAAAGATTGTAAAAAGATCACTCATCTTTGGAAGTGTCACACTGAGTTCTGGTGGGCTGCTATTGCCAGTCTGTGCTGATCCATTTTTTGCTGGCATTATTTCTGTCTCTGAAAAAGAAGGTTGTAGTTTTTTTTTTTTTTTTTTTTTCCAGGGCTGGAAATCCTTGTATAAAACCGTAGTTTATATAATAAATCCATATTACATGAACATTCAGTCAGGTTGGTAACTTATGGAAGGAAATTCATTACTGCCAAATGAAAGTAATACATGAAGTTGGGTATATGGTCATGGGTTAAAGTTTCTTGTGTGTCACACCTGTCAAACTGGCAAAATCTGACTAACAGGGTCTGTTTGGTCTGCCCCACAGAGAAAAACTCAAAACCCAAAGAATAGAATCACAGGGTTCTCCCTAGTTTTCAGCACAACAGGTAAGGGACCTTTTCAAACCAGTAAAGCACATTTGCAGCTTCAGGCGGCTGGTCATTCTCAACTTTGTCAACGATACACCTTTAGGTTCAGAGGTTGAACAAAACAAAGTAAAATTTTGTTTAAAACCATTATATTTGACTATGCCCTTTCCAAACTGCTTACAACGTAAATTGGTCTCCCTTCGATTTCGGGTGATATCTTTAGCATCACTTACATGGCTTATCAGTGGTGTCAGCTACGAATCACATCGCTATGAAATCGAATCACATGGAATAGCTGAATTTGTGTTCTAATCGTCTCAAATTCAGAACTTTTATGCTGTCAAGAGATTTTATTTTCAAGGCTTCTTTCGAACCGTTGTCTGAAACACAAGTAGAATTTCACGGCAATTGTAGAGCTGTCAAGGTGGTTATTTCTGGCAATCGGCTGCTTTTCCGTCGCTAGTAGGTAAGCTTTATTTTGTTTTCCCCTAAAATTCTTGTAAAGCTTACAAGCCACTCTTCGTGACCTCTTGTTACTGGAGAGAAACGATAGCATTGTTTGCTGCCGTTTCAACGCGAAAACTGAACTACTAAACGACACCACATTTCAACGTGCAGAGAACTGACAAATGTCATGAGATTTGGCAGAAAGCCCACGAAAAATCACTCTTGCTTCGAAATTCAAAAGGTACCAGTCAGTGTTAGCTAACTAAAGCACACGTAGATTTATAATAGTGCACACTGTTGGCTTGTTATTACACTTTCTTTCCAGATTAGCTCCCCATAAATGCGTATTTTGTAAGGATTCTGAGCGTTTGCAGGCGGTAATAAGTGCTCTTACAAGCAGTAAATTTTACCGGTTACCGCCTGATAAGGAGAACCCTGATAGAAGTGGCAAGAAGGAAAGAATCTCAAAGCCTGATGCATTCCACAATACACTGATCATTAAATTATTAAGCTGTGAGCACAAATTGTAACCAACCTAAAAATTGGCATTAAGTAGTTCATTCGGCTTGAGTGAATGGTTAACATTTTAAGCGCGATTTTGCTTGTTTCATCGTTCTGTTGTCTCCTTAGCAATTGAATAGTACCCATTAAATTAATTATTCTTATCAACCTTTGTGTTAAAAGTTGAAAGTTGCTCGAAAGACTTGTAAGAGATTACGAGGTATTTTAAATGTAGGTGTCACTTTTTGAGTTTGCTCGAAAGCTTCCAAAAAGTCATGGAAAGATGGTAACCACCAACACTGCAGAATAATAGACGCTTTCCACAAGCAGTCTAAAAAAACACTACAAGGTAATATCTCGTGTGTAGCAAATCTCCGTATGCAAATTTTTTCTAGCTGCAAAAACTTACTAGTTAACACTATCACTCGTAAAAAAAAGTTTAACTTAATCTTACCTGGTGCGTGTGATTCACTGGTATCTAAATGAAATAATTAACAAATATAGTGTTACGAAATTGAACCATTTTCGTTGCCAAAGCAATAACAGAGTTGATTAATTTAATTAAGATATAATAGGACAAATTTCTAAATCCAAACATGGAGCAAAACAATATGAAAGTGTGCAAGCATGTACCTCTACTCGCCTAACTCTGAACAGTTTCAAAATCAAAATTTATGCAAAAATGCATTAATATATTTCTGGGAAGTTTGAGACGTGTTTGACAAATGGATTTTATGTGTTGTAAATTAGCCAAGGGATATACATCAACTCACTTAATAAGTGAGCGCAGCAATATGATAAAAATCAATAGTACAGATAAACACATACAGGAACTCTGCAAGCATATGGAAATAGGTATAGCTGAAAGTAACTTGAACAGAAAATAAACTATTGTCCTATAATGATCCCGCTGCCATTGATGCTACAAAGTTATAAATAAAGTGGCAATAGAAACAGATTTTCCTTGTGTTTCTACTTTTTCCGAAAAGACAGAAGGAATGGGGGAGCTTATTCAAAGGAGGTGCTTATTAAAGAGTGGGTGCTTATTCAAGGAATTATGTGAAGTCATCTTGATTTGTGTGTGATATGAGCAGGAATACATGTAGACAGATCAAAATCAGATCTGTTCCTGTATAAAGAAAAGATAGATTGATATAGGAAGCAATACCTGCATTAAAGTAAGGCCAGTCTTGGAAAATGACTGAATCATTCAAAATGTTGGCCACAACAGATGCTGCCATCACACAGGCAATTTGTTGCCATTTCCTACTTGAAGACTGCGTTTCATCTACAAAGTCTCTGATGCCCTTGACTACCACCCATTCTGTCTTAAAATCATGGGCTGCTGCTGCATACACTCCTGAAGAAAAAAAGGGAAAAAAAATGCTCATGTCTTACCTATATTGAGCTTATTTTTTAGTATCCTTAATATAATTCTTCAATAAAAGCCCACAAACATTTACACTCTAGCTGTTTGTAAACATGCAAATCACAAAAAGACGTTAGTACCGAAATCTAGTTTTATTCAACAAGTAATTAAATAAAAATTGTACACTGAGACTGTAAAATTATTTTTCAGGCTTCATCTTGTTTCATAAGTAACTTTTAACATTTCTCAAAAGACAAACTTTTGTCAGTTAGAGTTGACAAGGACTGTGATACAGTAAAAACCCGCATAAAAGAACACATGTTTTGGGGGTTCAGGTGGATTTGTTCTTATGTATCAAGTGTTTTCTGCAAAATCAGCCTGAAAATGTTAAGGTGTTCTTAAAATTGTTTCTAAAAATTAAATACTGCATAGACTACCAACAGATCTGAAACATATAAGCACAAAATTTTAATTAAGTAATGGATGTAACTAACCTTAACTGCATTAGTCATGGCAATAATATTACATTGGGGGAGGGGTACCAGTTCTGGTGATAAACAACTCAAAACTCAGGAAAAGTCGAGCAAATTCAGAATGCACCAACTCCTCCTCCCTGTTTCCAACACTGTACCCTAGTACTGTACCTAAGTAGGTTATTCTAATCTAGCTAGCAGCCAATTTTTTTAAATACATGAACAATTTTCATTTTTCAGGCTAAATGTGTTCTTATGTATAAGGTACTTTTTTGACCAAATTTCAGTAGGACTGTTCTTAGTCCACTTGATCTTTTATGCCAGTTTTCACTGTACTATTTTTCAACTCTCAAACGATTAAACAACATACTTTCAACATTTTTCAGATAAAAAATTAAAGATAATCCATGACATCCTGGTGGAGCACATTCAATTTAGTTATCCAGTAGACATGTTAGTCGCCTTCACTTGCAAAAAAGTCTTGCTACCCCAGCCAAACATAAAATCACTAAGAATACACAATTTATAAATTCCTGCAAATTTAGCATGTTATATGGTCTGTCCTATTTCTTAGACCAGCAAAGACAATACCAAAGCATTTTTTTTTCAAAACACTTCCTTTAAGTGCAAAATTCTTGGCTCATCAATTATTTGAATTATTATGATTCTCACCTCCACCTTCCATTTCAACTGCAATTGCTTCAGGATGTTTCCTAATCATATCTCTGTTTGCCTCTGAGATACTCAGAACCACTCCATCACAGTGCACTTTGGGATTATATTCATCAGCATTTCGTAAAGGTGCCTTCCACCCATCAGCCACATGTTTGATCAGGTGACCAATATCTCTGCTGGGGGGAGTTTTGTGTGCAGCTGTTATCAGCTTTGCTGAAACAACCACATCTCCTAACTTGACCTTTTTGTTGTTCAAACCACTACAGGCACCAACAGAAAAAATAGCCTTAGGTCTCAGTAGCAAAATGGCATTTTTTGAAATGGACAAAGAACCCCCAAGAACATCAGGACCTTTGGAGCACCTCATCAATGCGATTTTCATTTTCTTTCCTTGATCATCACCCATGCACCCAAAGTACACAAAGCCAGTACTGATGTGGTAACTCCTAGAGGGTTTCTTCAGGTAGGCAAAGCAGCTTAAGAACTCACAGTCCTCAACTGTTAATAATAGAATATCAACTGGCAGTTCAACAATTTTCCAGGGACAAAAGACTGTTGGAAGACTGCTCAACTCTGGAAGTTCCACACTGAGTTCTGGTGGGCTGCTATTGCCAGTCTGTGCTGATCCATTTTTTGCTGGCATTATTTCTGTCTCTGAAAAAGAAGGTTGTAGTTTTTTTCCCCTGTATGTGACAATTAATTAGCTTACCCAAATGAAAATCAAAAGATAAGTAAGATGAAGGAAAAAATAGTAAACTATGGATACAGTTGACATATTAAGGGAATAAATATTCACAATTTCAGATATGCATAATTGTGACTCCTGAAAAAAGATCCACAGGAAATTCATTTCATAGGATGATCCAGTATGACTGACATTATTGACTCTACAAAGTTAATTTAAAACTCAGCTTTAACAAAAAATTACCTCTCTCCCATGAACTTTGTTCAGCAACATCAAAGGAATCCTCCTTGTCTCCTTCCTTCCTGGCCTTTATCACAATTTTGTCTTCATGAAATTTGTCTGTGATGCAGTCATCATCTTTCAACCACTCTCTCAGAAGCTCTCGGAAGTGTTCTTCAAGATCAGCATCCATAGAATGTAGTGTAGGATCATCTATGACTTCCTCATAGCAGGTCCCTCCAATACGCAGAAAAGTGTCTTTGATGCTGTTCCAGTACAGACTGAAAGTTGGATCATCAACTGAAGCATTAGCAGCATGACTGAAAACTCTGTCCCTGAAAAACTTGATGCGATTGATGTCAGCTTCTGGAGAGGTGTCTGATCCTGGAGGAAGGTTATTCCAGCCAGAGGCAGGGAGAGTCAGACCAAAGATATTCCTCAGAAGAAGTAGCAGTAGGGAGCTGTCAAAGTTCCCTGAGGAAACTGACCATTTGATGACAGAATCCAGTTTCCCCCACTGGGAGGTACTCAGGACCCTCTTCTTTCGAAGTGTTTGTAATTTGGCACGGTTTAAGGGATTAGTCAGAACTGCATGAAGGTTTTCTGGTGGACATATCCTGTCAAAGAGCTCCCTTAACACAACTGATCCAACTTCAACAAGAAGGCGACACAGGTTGGCATAATTTGAGGTTTCTTTGGTACAAGGATATGATGGTGTAACAGAGGTCATGACGACATGTCTCCTATGAAAAAATGCTTATAATTATTACAGGCAATTCAATACAACATTGCTTTAGACCATGGAAAAAAATCAATAGCAAGAACAAAAAAGCCCTTGGAAATGAATTTGATGCCTTTTTTTCCTTGTGTACGCTTGTAATAACATTCCTTTACACACGTCCTTTGTACTGAGAAGCTATCCATTGTCTGAACAATTCCATTTCAAACCCATGGACTCCCACAAGGTAGTAACCTCTGCCCAGTACTGTAGAGAATACATGTATTTGTGAATGACCTCCCCATGATAGTCAAGAATTGTTATTCTGTATGCTTCTGTTAGCTACATTCACCTACAACAAGAAGCCACTTGAATCATTCTGTAATTTAATCGCTACTGGAAGAATTTCACTCAGATAGGAATAAGGAAATGAATGAAATAATTTAAGTGAAAAAATGATACTTCACACTTTTCTCCATTGTGGTGCTAATTCTCTACACCTCATTTTAAATAATTACTTGTTTCACTGTCCCTTGACACAGAAGATAGTATCTTGAGAATTTTCCTCACTTTCTGAGCAAATCTGGAAAAATTTGGCAAAACACACATCATAAGAAAGTGTTAACCGAAGCACTTAGCCAAGAGTTTAAACGATTTGTCACAATATACACAATGATAAAGCTTTGCTACAATACAGCAGTGGAGTATGTACAAGAACAATTCCCTAGGAAAATGAAATATGATGTCGTAGCCGCAATAATTTACATTAAACTTTGGTGTGAAAATTCAAAACACCAAAATTGATAACTTTGGAAGCCGAAGACTTATCAGGTGGTTTGAGCAGTTCCAAAATAGTCCTTGAAATGTTGTTATTGAAATCTGTTGTGCAAGTTTGCAAGAGAAACATGGCCGATGCTATGCACTTAGTAACTGCCCTAAATCTGATTTTGATTGCACAGGCTCAATCAACATTTTTAACAGCTTTCGAAAAAGTGCGCCGAATAATAGGTTGTTGTGCCTTGTTTCTATTTCATATGAGGAAAGAGATTTCAGTGGCTAATACTGCCTTCCGTTCCAAGGCTAACTTGTACGTTAGGAGGGCATTCAAATCTGGGTACATATAGAGTGATTCAATAGTGTCAGGTGGGTTCTTGTTGCAATAATTCAGTGTCAACAAATCGACAGAAGCTTGTATCAGTTAAATGAGGTCCAAGAAACTGAATCCTGCTTGATCGGACTTAACATTCATTGGAAAAATGCTTTAACAAAGCTATTAGAAGGAAGTTTTCTTCAGGTATTGATTGAACCCTGTTCATACTCTACTGATTGCAGGACTGACAAATTTAATTTCTGTTGCAGAGCTTGAGGTTAGGATAAATTACAACTGAATGGGGCCAAATAATGTACTAATGAAGGCTTTAATGTGCAACAAAATTGAGCTATTTTTGCATGATTCAAAACTGAGCATTACCTTTCCCCTTTCAATCATGTTTGTGAACAGAGAAGTTCTGGATTGCTCAGCTAGAGAAGGGATCATAGGAAAGGACTAGAGGTTGCAATTGGCATGCTATTAATTCACTGATGTACAACAACTGCCTTGTTGCATATTGTAAAAGTAATGAATGGTATGGGGTATGATCAGGGAATGATATATGTAACTAATATACAAAGAATGAGATATGTAGATAAACATTGAAAGTTGTCAATAATACAGTGAATGTTGATATAGTTGTTCATTGACAATTTGATGTATACATCATGTTGTTGTGAATACGCAAGTTAACTATAATTAATGTGAATTGCATGTTGAAATATAGATCCAAAAAAATGGGGTATGATTTAAAAGTGATATGATATAAAATATACAAAATTGAGATGATAAACAGTGAATGTTTTTGATACAGTGAATGTTGATATACTGTAGTTGTTCACTGATAACTTGATGCATACATTATAAATATGCGAGTTAGTTTTATGTTATGTTGATTGAATGTTAAAAATAAAACCAAATAAAATGAGATTTTTTTTCAGTGTAATTAACTGTGTAAAAAGAAAATCAATCCTTTCAATAATTCAACAAAACCCAGTAAAGGCAAAAGATTCTTCTCAACAGAATATTCAGACCTTAGAAGACCACAAAGACTTTAGCAGCAAGAATGCTTTTCAATGTGATTCTTTACACAAGCAAAGTCAATCTCTTGCAAAGAAAGATCAATTTAAAAAAGAATATTCATTCTTGGGTGAAGGACAAAAACTCTCATAAGGAGTCTCAGAAACTGGCATTCTTCCCAAATGAATATTGTGTCTCCAGGGAAAAGTAGTAATTCTTCTGATAAGCTTGCTTAAAAATGAGATTCTGCATAAATGGATATCATTTTGGTAGGAGAGCAGTGTTTCCTCTCAGAAGAATACATTATCGACTGGTTCTTGGCAAAAGAATCTTGTTTTCGCAGGAAAAACTAGTATTCTTCTCAAAAGAATCACATATGTGAGATTTTTCTCATAAAAATTCTTAACCTTGGGAGAAGACCCACAATTCTTTCCTTAAATGGATATCATACTAAGAGGAAAACAGTGTTTCTTTTCAGAAGAATACCTCATTTACGGGTTCTTGGTAAGAGGATTTTGTTCTTGAGGGAAAAAAACTAGCATTCCTCTAACAAGAATCAGACACACACGAGATTTCTCTTACATGAATTCTTAACATTAGGAGAATTCTTTCTTCAAGAACCAGATTTATTCTCCTCAGAATTATAATTCTCCTCTGGGGACGAAAAATCTAAAATGATAAATTCTTCTCTGAAGAGACATAAATCTTTCAGAAAGAATTTAATTTCTGTTCAAAAGAATTGAACTTAAGCGTCATTTAGAGTGTCAAACTGCTAAGTCTTTCAGACACATCGTTACCATCAACATTGGACGCCCGGTTCCTACCGGGAACACGCACGTTCTAGCTCGAAGTGATGCGGCCCTACTGCAGCCATGTTTATTTCCCATCAAGGTTAACTCCCTGGCGGTGTTATTGCTCGATTTACGAGATAGGATTTCACATGGTTAGGAAGCGCTTTGGAAGCTGAAACTTTGGTGAGTATTCTGTCCTTGTAGCCAAATTTGGAGAGATGGTAAGGAATAAGTAAACAAACATCAAAAGCAAGCGGATGTAGAGATATTAAGTGTAACTGTGAGCACAAATTCGCGAGTGATTCGAAAATGTACGTTCGCCTCCACTTGCTCTCCTCAGCCAGATTAAACAATTTGGCTCTAAAGACACATTTCCCTCGCTATTATTTACAGGAATCAAGTTGAAAAACATATAGTAAATGGATGCCTTACCTTGGCAAGAATCGTCCGCTCAGAAACGTTAGATAAGTCTTTCAAGGAAAAAATCAACCACGGGTAAATTCAACTAAGCTAAATGGTTTTTGTAATTCCTTATATGGAGGTCAGCATTAGATTCCACCCACCAAAATCACCTTGGTCGAGAGGGACTGAGATGGAATGATGGACAACTCATGACTTGTTATACTAAATGGAAATTACGAAGCTACGACAACATGCCGACTTATCCCGATGATCTAAGTGTATCATTTGTTTGGGAAATTGCGTCAAAACTTTTTACTCAAGAAATGGTAAGTATTAATTTATTGTTCGATTGTAGTATTATAAAACATTTTACGCAATTTTATGCAGATATTTCACGTATCTAAAAGGTGCCCAGATGTTAGGTAGTTTTGGTGGATGTCATTAGGGAACATCCACCAAAACTTTGACCAAAACCATCAACAATATATTTTTTTAATTTTATCTATAGCCACTGTTAAATGTTCAGGGAGACAAAAGATTTATACCACTAATTAGCAGTTAGTACTCTGGCTAATTATTTCTTATGGTGCACAATTGCTGACCGACCAAACGTTCATAATGATTATCATAACTCTTAACACATAGAATAACGTGGTTTTGGTGGATGTTTCTCTCCATCCACCAAAACCACCATAGCAATTTCTGCTACTTCCTTACAGAAGACTGATGTGACCTGCTATTTGGAGTACATAACCACAATCTATTTCTTTGTATGTAGAGATATTTTGCAAAGCTCTTGAGTCAGCACCTTTTATTATTGAAACCATAATCGTAACATGGTGCACAATATAGAATACAAAAGGTTCTGGTGTGGTAATCATGTAATCTTGAAACAGGAGAGTTTTTAACTGACTTAAACTGATTTAAACAGACATTTACAACAAAATTCCAGGTCCAGAAATTTCTTCCACTATTTCCACTAAAATCATAACCTTTAAGTACAACAAATCAGCACATTAGTAATTGTTATCAGGGGTCTGAAAATCCTATAAATCTTTCACATTTATTTCAAGTAACCTTTAATTTCACATGGATGAATAAGTATACACTCAAGATGCAGAATGTCTTAAATTTTACAAACTATTTCCCTTTTTATGGATAGACAGTGAAAGGCCTTTGCCACATTGGTGAATCAAACCATTGTATACCATGCATTTTGTGATAATTGTTTGTTTTTGCTCACAATATCCAGAAAAATGGAGGGGATAAATTTAAATAGCAAATTCTATTAATGGTTAAAATTGAATAACATTGGAAGATAAAATTAACTTTGTACTTTTTAAAATTCAGTTTTGGTTTCTTGCTTATTCCAGCCTCTTAATATTCAAAAGCATTCCTTGTCATTTTTGTGTTCTTCTGTGTACATAACTTGAAAAATAAACACAGAGAAAGGAAACCACAAAGGATTAAACTTGAAGCTAAAGCAAAGTTTAAGTTGAGCCATAGCTGATCCAAATACTGAGCACCTTGTATTGTAACCCATTTAGCAGTAAAGTTTATCTATATGTCTGCCAGCTTGTCACAAGTCTTACCCCTCTCCTTCAAAGGTCTCTATAAATAAATTTTTTTTTTGTGGTCCCTAATTGATGATAAGTATATTACAGCTCCTCAATTTTCCTCTCTTAAGACAAGGTTACTCTAAATTTAACAAAGTAATGGACTTGATAAAACTCAAACTATAACTCAGCTGGCTGCTACTTGCAACCTTAATTTCTTGATATCATTATACAATAATCAATATGTTATAAATAAGAAGCCTAATGCTTAATTTTGCAGTGATCACCTTCCTCCTTTTCATTTGCAGACCAGACTGGAACCTATATAGGTGTGTTTGCTTGTTTTGAGTGGGGATGGAAGAAAAGGAGTCATGCCACATATCTGATTTATTAAATCGCTTTTGTTCTGTTTATACATGAGTAGAACTACCTTGTTCTCTGCAAAAAATAAAATTTCTCGCATTTTTATCTGTGCTTTGCAGTCAAACTTCCTTGTGTCTTGGACAAGAAATCTTATTTCTTGAAAACAAAATCTTTGTTTCTGGCCTTCTATAATAGGTAAATATAACAGTGTAAGATGAGTTCATAGCGTGATAAGGAGCAAACATATGATTGCTTGATAGAAAGCAAAAAAATGCAGAATTGCCCATTCATGTATTTGACCTTTCGAATTAGCAAGCCATAGTTGACAGAAACACAAAGGTTGAGGATAAAAAGAAATTATTATATACAGTACTTCTTCTGCATCTTTTCGTTTCCTTTTCTCTCCAGCTGTTCTATCTATGCCGTGCTGGCAATTGAACACTTTCCTTCCCAAAATTAGGAAAGGCACACCAGTAAAAAACGAATTTTTGCTCCTTAAATATCTCATGCATCTTCCCCCAGTATTTTGTGACTTCTGTCCGAGGAAGGAGGTGTAAGCATTAAATTAACCCGAATGATTCCACAACTGTGGTATCATCCAAGCCATGCCAGAGGACTTGAACTAGATAAACTAGTGATAATGCACAATAGTGATAGCAAAGCTTTGTAATGCTAAAGAGCTATATCAATATATATATATATATATATATATATATATATATATATATATGTTCCTGAAACCTTTGACAGCTTTAAAGAAAGAAAACTTTGTCATCAATCCTGTTTCAAATTCTGCAATAAGTTTATGTGCCTCATCAACAGAATTTACGTATCCTAAATTAACTGCATGTCTACCATCAATGGTTCACGACTTAAAATTCTCGCTATACTGTTTCTGTTTGTTCCTCAAGAATCATGGGATTTATAGCTTCAGATGTTGGGCTACATCATTTGTGGATTTCCGAGAATCTTCGGTTATGTTTTGCAAGTCATTAAATATTCCATCTCAGTCCCTTTCGACCGAGGTGGTTTTGGTGGATGGAATCTAATGCTGACCTTATATGGAAGGGTGTCCTCCATTTTGGGGCAGGGGCATGTTGTTGTGCATGTTCTGTAAATTTTTGTTTGATACGAGAAACCGCCGGTATGCGCCTGCGTCGGTTTCCCAAAATACGATACTTTTGTCGTGTCATTGCTATCTCAAGTTATTGGTGATCATTTGAATCACTCGCCTTCCTGTAAGCGTTTTTTAGAGCTTCAACTGTACTGGTAGTGCAGTGTGCTTCCAATATTGGCAAAAATTTAAAGTTTACAGAAGTTTATGTTTTGTTTCAAAAGTTTTTTTTGACATGAATCACAACCGGCAGGACCGATTACCAAATAAAAAAGGTCAACGTCGAGTAAAGGAAAGAATGAAAACAAGTACTAGTTTGAGCTTCAAGTTGTAAGATGAATAGTTAAATAAATCAATTATTACCCAATAAAAATCACATTCATTTATCATTTCAACTACACAACAAAATCTTATACACTCTTTGCAACCTTATTCTCCAACCTATTAAATTACAAGAGTTGTGTGACAATTTGATGGTCTGAAAATACTCTTATACAGGCCAAACAACAAAGAACCAGCAAGGCCAATATTCAACAGAGAGGATAAAAAACAAAATACTTCCAAAAGCCTTTTCTTTTCAGGAATAAGACTAAATGAGGTCAGATTAAACTGTGGAGAGGTTTGCTGATGTCTTTATGAAAATGGATGATTTACATCTATCAGATTTTAGAGAAATGAGACTTAAGTCAAAAGGGGACTCTGATATTGCCTATTCTGCAGTAATGGGCATCAGCTTGGATGCCTATTTGCGGAAATTAATAGCTTTCAAGCCAGGGGTTTGGCTGTGCTAATTTTAAGGCACAAAAATCATAAATCAGTTACTTAAGAAATTTTATAGCTCTCACTAGAAGCTCAAACACCCTTAAGGAACAAGACAATATTTCACCTAATCCCTCCTCATATTATTTTCCCATGAAATTTGGACAAAACTTTCAAAAACTTTATTGATAATTTTACAGTTGCAAAAAAGGTATGGACACAAGTTGCATATAGCATAAGCTAGTTGAGGCAAGTTGTGTGGAGAGAACAAAAGATTGATAATTTATACCACTAGTAAGCTTCTGGTACTAATGTCATTCTCTTGAGTGCCAGCTTGCCACAGCAAATGTCACACCTATCCTTTCTGACAATAGTACCAACCATATGTAGTGGGGTCACTTCACATATCCCTAAACAGCAGAGAACATAATAGTTAATTCAAATCATTAGTCTCAATTAAGAAATAAAAATTGAAGGACCAAGACTTATCTGGCAAAGTGAAATGCACGTCAAACTGGTTTGAAGACATTTTAAACCGAAATTCGTTTTTAAATACAACAGAAATACTATAGTTGACATTCTAAAGAAACAAGGAGTTCCAGCCCCTTGAGTAATTATCCATTTGTTGTATCGAGTTTTATGGCGCACTTCGACTCAAAATTAATTTCGTATGGCAGAAGTATTCCACTGAAATAAACAAGATAGAATGAAGCTGACTTCATTCGTTTCGAATAACACATGAACAAGAAGAAAACGACACAAGTTTAAACTCATGACACAAAGCCCACGCATTTTTTTGAGGTAAATGAACTGGTTAGACCGAAAGATAAATAAATAAACAATGAATTGACATTGGTGAGGGATTTGGGGGCCATGTGATCCCGTGATAAACAAGTTCTACCGAAGTTTATCCTCTAGTTAGCATTTCAAGACCAAAAGGGCAATTAGAAAAATTCTAACCAAAACACAGCAACAAAATAAGATAAAAGAGAGATGATCGAGGCAAGACTATAAATGTTGTTAAGACACATGCCTACATACCAAGTACAACAGACTTGGAGAGCAAAAAGGCCAAAGACAGTTGTGAGCCATGACTTGGAAAATCCACCTCAACCTCCCAAAAACGAATTCGCCGAAGGTTGTAGAAAGAGCAACTCAATCCTGAAGCTGGAACATTTTTTTAAGAATTGTGTCCTATGGGACTACAAAAAGAAAGAAGAGAAAATGTTATTTGAAGTGATTTGAAGCTTGGGGGCCACCTCGAACTTAACGCAATTTTACTTCAAAGTT